GGTGTATAAGACAGTATCTGAACTTCCCAAATAGTTACCTTCTGTATGATCACGTTTCAGTGCTCCATGACCTGCTGAGAAGGGGACTGGGGGAAGAGATGCTGTTTGTGAATCCTCTCTTTACGGAGTCAGGACTACCAAAACCGCCCACCAGGCAGCCTTACTCACACCTGGTAGTACATACAGACTGAGGGAGTTTGGGACCTACAGGATGAGGCAGCAGCTACATCATGGTTATGAAGACATGATGATAGCACCTAAAATGTGAGCTCAGCGGTCAAAGAAGGATTCTGGCATCCTCTGCTAAAACAACCACCAGGGATCTCTCACACAGTGAAGGAATCAAGAACGAGAAGGTTGGAAAAATGAATCTATCATTTTGTGACTCGCAGCATGTAAGGAGCTGAAAGCAATTGGAGTTCCTGCTTGTCTTCTGTCATGGTCAAACATAAATTGATTGGAGTTTGGTGCTGTGCGGTCTGGGGAAAAGCAATGTGTCTCACGCAAGAGGGCAGGCAGTAGAGAGCACATGGCTCAAACGCTGAACAAATGGCAGGAAAATATGCCCTCCCTAAACTTCATAAAATGGATTGTGAACAGGTAGCAGTAAATCAAAGATACCTGGCCCCTCATCTCCGCCCCAGCACAACTACTTCCTTGGAAACTCAGCTAGAAACCCCAGCACATTCAGACTTAAGGATAAAAAAAGCAGAAGAAAGAAACATCCAAAATTGCCTAGAAATTTGTGAAATCTGATTTAAACAACCTCAAGCTGACACAGGTTTCTTAGCTTTTCATGACCGAGCTTTGCTTCAGAGCGAGTCACAAATGGTAACATTACGCAAAGGTATGGGATCTACAGGGCCAGACTCTAGTGAGTTAAAAAAAAGAAACTAACAGTTGGCAAAGTCCACAGGTTGTGATCCCAAATACGAGCAACCAGGAAATATTGGACAAGACACCAACACAGAGGGAGAAAGAACAAGAAATTGCCTGCATATACATGTGAGAACACTCCCTGGTTTAGGTGTGAGCTTTCTCAAATCACCGCAGCAAAATGCTGCATATGGTTGTGTTTGTGAAGTTTTGCTGGAGACTAATTTTGTAACAGCAAAAGTGTAAGCATGTGATAATCATTTGGAGCCCTCTGAAGCTGGTACCTCAAACCAAAGGGCAACATGGACTCTGTGTGTCTAATCTGCTGGTTCCTTATTCCCCAGCTACATTTCTTTGTTCCTATCCAGCTCAGCCCTTGCACCAACACTTCAAAAATCTTTTTGACAAACATAATTCTTCTTCTTTTCCAGCCAAAGACAGCAAAGCCACCTGAAAGCAGGCCAAATAAGGGGAAGCATGCCTAGATCCGACCCAAGGCTGCTGCTACCACCAGGAAAAAGAGCTGTAAGTCAGTGAGAGTGGGGTAAGCAGGAGACACTGGCAGCTGGAAGGAGCCAGAGAAAAGGAAGTGGGATAGACAGAAAAAGAAACACTCACTGGCTTGAAAGAGCTTGGGAAGGCAGGGGGGAGGAGTACCCAGGTGCCAAAATATGCAATCATAACCCCATGTATGAAAATTTACTTTTTTAGCAAGCACACGGAAAGAATATACAGATGTTTACATGCACGCAAATACACTGAATTCCAAATGAACTATTTCCAGGTCGTATTTTTTAAACTTCAAATTTCAGCAAATATCCTCTGTCCACAGACCAAATTATCTTTTGAAGATGATAAAGTAAGAGTCACGTGCACCTTTCTTAGCCAAGCAAGGATTACCTTCTTCTCAAGGTAACTCTCCTCATTAATTGTGTTCCGATGAAGCAATCAAAGCAACAGAGCAGACAGAAAGAACAGACGCTTCTCGGGAGGAAGACTTGGTTTTAGGAAGGCCAGTGCTAGAGCAGGTGGTGTTGCTTTATCACCTTGGCATACCACCCAGGCTGTCTCAACCAACACTGCTGAAGCTTTTCAATCTGTGGTTGCTCTGATATAAAGAACAAAACCAAACTGTACTACTAACAGCTCTACATGGAGCTTCCTGCATCCTTTTAAACACACCTAAGTGTAAGGGGGGACAAGGGCCAGGGCATTTACTGTTTTGTGGAAAGAATAGCCAGAGAGTGGTTTCTAACTATAATGGTTCCTACATATATATATATTGTTCCTATAGATATATAGAGAGATATGAGGTCTATTTTATCACATCCCTCCCATCTAGTTCATCACATAGCTGGACAATTTGCAGCCAGAGGACACTGAGGAAAAAAAAAAACAAACACCAAAACAAACAAACAAACCAAAACCAAAAAACCCAACATCATTTAGGCCCCGAAGGCATCACACAAGGGAAATTTAAAGCCCTGTATGAAACTGTGAAATTCAGGTGCCTACAGCACTCCTCATGAGCACAGATGTACCACTAAGCTGAGCCTCAGAAGCCCTCTTCTAACCTCCGGTGGCTTAGAATGCATCAGTAACCAGCAAGCATCTTCCCAAGGGCTCAACACACACCACAGGTGCTGTGACCTTACCTGGCAGACACCCAGACCCCACAGTCACTGCCATTCAGATGTGGTTCCCCTCCTTCATTTTCTCCCAGCCAGCCACTGAACATCTTTATAGTGGAAAAAAATTGAATTGACTGTGATCTGTAGCTTGAAATTTGGAAAGAAAAGCCCCAGATTCTTCAGTCGTTTCTGGTTTTGAACTGACAACTGTTTAGTGTAAAACATAAATGGGAATTCCTCATTTCCAGCTAAATTTCCAACCCCTGACGATGTAACCCTACTTGAAAATGGTGGATGTATGTTTGAAGTCAAATCAAAACTCCATAAAATTCATTGTAATTGTCTCAAAACAGTCGATTTGTGCCTCAGTTTTCTTGAGTGAGTTATACCATACCCAGCCTCCATGTTCTGAAATCTGAACAAAATTATCAAAGCTGCACAAGAAATACAAGGGCAGAGGCAAATAAAGAAATCACAGAGTTGATTTTTTTTCTTAGAAATATATTTTGTAAGAAAACAATATTAACATTAAAAAGAAATGTTTATTATACAGTATAAAATAATTGCTTGAATTCAACTCTTCCTTGTCAAAAAAAAAAAAGCCTGAGGATTTGTATGAAACCTCAATTCCTACAGATTTGAGTCTTTTGCCTTCTGTGATTCCTATGGCATTAAAGAGCAGGTTTTCCCCACATCATCCTTAGAGCACACAAACACTCCTAAAACCTTCCTCATCCCTTCCCCACCAAGTTGCTGTTCCCTGCCCAGATATGCTCTAAACATCACCCATAGTATCTGCAGCTCTCTCCTATGTCCCCCACGCTCCCCTCAGGTTCCATCCACCTACCTCTTTTGGCCAAGCAACTATACAAGCAACAACACGTGTTGCAGCTAGCTACAAGTCTCCCCATATTCATTTGTTGGCTAATATGAACAGTGGCCAGCCACTGACAAATAATGTGTAATGGCCGAGTTGTTCTCAGCTGTCTGTTCTGGTAAAATCTGCAAGAATTTCTCTCCACACCGCCATTCACCTGCCACATCTGGCAGAAGCGTGCAGAGCTTTAAAAGCTAGAAGGGGAGACAAGGACAGGCAATGCAATGACATAAGCTTCACTTTTTCAGGAAACTAAGCTAAAAAAGTCATTACTCAATTGCAGAATTTACAACTTGCAGATTTTGTTGTAGGAAAATATGCCTGTTCAGTAACTATAAATACCCTTAATACATTTCTGTGGCTTATTATGGGGTGGATTTTTTGTTTGTGTTTGGTGTGGTTTTTTTTTTTTTTCTTTAGATAATGTCAGCTTTGTAATGTCAATTACCCTCCAGGTTCGAAAGGCACCCAGTGACCAGCATTCTGGTGTAATTATTCATGGCATTGGTGTGATTCACCCCCTCCCAATAATACTGACAAGTTTAACAGATATCTATTAAGTTAAAAAGAACAAAGATATATATTACATTTGCTAATTACAAACAACCTCTTTTAGCTGCAATTTTTCCCATTGGGACTAAAAAGTGCACCAGTTTAACATGTCTGTACATTAAAAACAGTTTAAAACATTAAATATACAAACAGCAAGAGATTTTAAATATTTTGTATCAAATACTATAGGACAATATAATTTACATTATTTTTTTTTTTTTACACAAAACATTACACCTGAAATATAACTTTAGATATTACAGAATATAAAAATACATACTTTTTGTCTAAAAAATGTCTTTGCAGGTTCTGGCACAATGTAATACTTTAAAGGCACACCGTATTTTGGCAATTTGTATTTGCAATTAACTGTGCAACAATAATAAAAATGACCTGTAATTAACCTTTTAGAACTGCAAGGCCAGATAATCTCCCCTTCTTCCTGGAATAGCCCTTTTAATCAGGTAAAAACTTAAGTTGAACTGTTTAGGTGTTCTGCAACTCATTTCTGCCCCAGGTCGAGCTCTCCAACCCTAATCCAGCAAAGCAAGAACAGGCTTAACTAAGCATGTGAAAAGCCACATCAAATGCGATGGGATTAGTCATACTTTCATAATCTTTGCCATCTCAGGGTCAGAACACTCAACCCCAAGCAAAACTGAGCCCTAGATGCAAGCTGGGAGCCAAGTTCTGTCCTGCCCTATGGTTTGCGCCAAAACTAGTAAGAGTAGCACAGGTTAAAAAGTCAGGGCAGAACTTGGAAACAGAAGTTCAAAAATATTAATTGCTCTGATTTCAACTACACTAATGCAAAAGTCATAATGGCTCTACTGAAGCCAGGGGAGACATATGAAGTAAAACTGCTATAAGACTGTATCAGGAGAACTATGTAATTTTGCCTTTCTATGCACTTGTGGGACTCCCACTGGAGTCAGCACAGGGCAAAAATGTGTCTTTAGAGATATATGGCTTATACAGATGCAATTGGGTTGCAAAAGATTTTCAGTTCTGTCTTCAAGTTGTTTCTGGACCACTAAAAACTCAATTTTCAGCATGCTAAAAATTCAGTCTAAATCCCTAACTTTAAATGCCCCAAAATAAGTTGCTTCTTGTGATGAATCCAGTAACAATGGGTTTGATACCTGGATACTTATCATTTCACCATATTTCAATTTAAAAAACCCGCCTACATTTACAGAATAAAAATGAAATTCTGAATTCCCTGACCAGTATTTGGTGCTTCCTCCCTTCATCAACACATCGGAGCGCTTTATTTTAAGGTTTGTCTTAGTCATATATACCATCAGCTGAAGCCCTCTTTTAGTCAGGTTTCCTGAAGTTTCATGATGTCTAAAACAAATGTTGGCATAAAGGTAGTAAAAACCATCTTGATTGACAATTAGTTTTCCATCATTGAATGTCATATTTGATAAGTTTGCCTGGCCTTTGTCATGATGCCAGGATGTGAGGTTCACTTTGCGAGTTCCTGAAGAGGATAGAAAAAAAAAGTTATTTATAAACATTTAACAAACTCCAACATTTAGAAAACAATCTCAGATTTTTAGAGTCAAGAGCAACTACACTTATATAGGCTAAAGTGAATATTAGACAATTATGATAAAAATTCATAAGAAAATTTCCTTTTTTCATCATGTACTGCCATATTTGGCTTGCTATTTGTAACTGTCTGCCCTCCCACCAGAACATCTGCTGGACCATGGTGGAAAACAGTTGCTTGGCTAATAGTTTGATTATGCTAAGCAATCATGCAAAAGCTCTGTATAGAAACTGCATTTCACCTAAAACTTCATTGAAGTAACAAATACTTGAGAGTAATTTGAAAAGAAAAATTACTCGTGAAAACACAACAAATCTTTCTATCAGTCTCTAACCTGTAAGTGTTTGCAAGGAATAACTAAACAAAATCTGAAATCAAGTTAAACCTATAATTCGCCAAAGAGAAAACTTATGAAGCCTTCCCATATTTTATGTTCCTGTGACTGCAGTGGTACAAAGGTAAACATATTTTAATTTGAGAACAGAAAAAAAAAGGAAAAAATAAGTACAATTGTGCATCATTTGTACTACACAGTAAGTTGCCTAGACTTTAGATAGCATTTCAAGTATTTACAACATAACAAACCTTTTTATGAAAAACAATGTTTAGACTTAACTCAGTGCCTGCATATACCAGAATAAGGCTCCACAATCTGGTTTAGTCATATCCTAGATATTCAGGATAGTGGCCCACAGCACAATCCTAATTCTTTGATAATTGTACAAAGACTTATAGCTGGGCAATTATAGCTATTCGGGAGGTAAACTCAGATTCTTTGTCTAATGTGGAAGGTCTTCGAAAAAGAGCTTTAGGAAAACAGATGTGACTCTGGATGCAATGTCTTTTTTTTTCTTTTCTTATTTTTCTTTATTTTAAAGTATAGTCAGTTTCAAACTAGAAATGATGAGCTGATATTCCATGCCTGGAGGAGAACAGTTCCCTTCAAGTTGTCTTAAGCTGGAGATCCACAAATTGGAAAAGAAAATGATAATAATATTCTGTGTCTCCATATAACATCATGCACGTGGGAATCAAAATACACATGTAACAGTTACCAAATCTGACTACCAAAAAGGACAGATTAATACAATTAACATATGTAAACAAGCATTACTGAATTTCTTCTACAGGTACACGTAAGCTTACACCACCGCATGATGGTGGCCTGGTAAACAGGAAGCTGTCCCTTATCTGTTAAGGTGACTGAATGCTTTGAGAAGAGAATGAAAAGGAGCTGAGAGACTGGAGATGTTTTGATGAGTTTGTCAGCTCAGCACTGTCACTGAAAGCCGACTTCACACAGACAGGTACAAATGTTCCTCCAGAACTCTGGTCCGAAAGGCACCTCCCTGGGTACTATCACCATGCAGCCACCTTGTATCATCTCTTGGAGGTTTCAAGCTGGTCAAGTCTCAGATGTCATTTCATCTAGATCCTACTATTAAGGCTGTGCTAAGAGATGGCCTGGCAGGCGGTCAGATAGGCACTGAGAGCAAGCCTTGGCGTCTTTCTTCCAAACCTGATCACATTTAACACTTCAGATTGTTTTTGGTAGCACAGTGTTAAGAAGCAGACTGCAACACCAGCCCAGACAGCATTGCTACTACAACACGTGAATTATAGTATCTTCTGTTAAGGAGCATGCCCTGCAGCACACATCCCACAGTCCCTTCCACCTCCCCAGCTTCACCACCATCCCATTACAGCACCCACCCCATCTCACTGCCTCTGCTGGCAAAAGCAGAGGAATAGGCAACAGTGTGAGAAGAAGATCAAAGGTGTATGGGTAAGCCCACACAGAGAAAACAGCACTGTCCTGAATGCCCCACAGGCCCTGACACTTCCCGATATGTACAAGCCACTAGCGCTCTACCATTTATTCAGTGTAATACAAAGGGCATAACACAACAGATGAGAGTTGGCCAACTTGTCCTCCAAACCACTAGCAATTTTCAGCACAGAAGACTAACTCCATTTGCTCCCTCCCACAGCAGTGGGTCCACATAGGCACCAGAGGACCTTCTACCTTAGGCTCCCAGTGCATCTAAATGCCTGCTTGGAACATTCAGTATCTTATTGTTGCAATATCAAACTAAAACAATCTATTCCCATCAAACTTTCCACAGCACATGCCAGGGCCCAGTGCCCCCTCCTCCAAGGATGTATCAAGGCATGTCCCAGAACCACCTGTGCTCACAAGTATGCTGGGGAAAAGCCCCAGGTATATTTGATTAGTTAAAAAGATGCCTCTTGGATTTGTTTGCGCAGAAAGAGGTGAGGGGAAGTAGGGACAGGGGAATTTGAGAGCTATGAGTCTTTCCTAACTGCCAAGGGCAACCAACTTATGCATGTGAGAGGAATACTTTAATAGCAGTCCAGAACAAAAAGCTTCTGGCATTCTTCCACAAAGACTTGAGCAAAGCATAGGCTGTCAAAGGCAGATCATAAATAGTTGCTCCCCTATGGCTCCAGTGCAGCCAGGTAGAAACTATACAAGCAGAATCATACAGAGAAGATGTCTTCTGTGCAGTGCCTCGAAAAAAACCCTCTGAAACCCACCAATTAATTGGAAATGACACTAAGATCTTAAGTCTCCTAGTCTGGAATTATTCACCTGCAAGAGATGCTGAGATAGGGGTACCAGAGCACACCTCTGAAGCACTGGGGATAGCTGAGGAAGTTGTAGAACTTCTTGCGCACAGTATTCAGCCTGCCAGAAATACTGCCCCAAGGAGGTTGGGCTACCTTCAAGATGAGGAAGATAGGCAAGAAATCACTGCTTGGATCAGAGGAGAGGCACACAAGAGGTACGGGACAGGAATGTATACGTATGAAGGAACAGAAAGGCATTCCGGCATGCTGTGACTGACTGGTGGCACACTGGGTAGTTGCTAGGCAGATTTTATTTACCTGGCAAGTAAACGTTTTGGTTGCCAGACTTAATCAAGCAGCAATTTTGAAGAAATCCTTAGTGGGAATGCATGATTCTCTGCTGAAGAAGCAGGAAGAGAGAAAACAGGTGCCACAGTCACTTGTAATTGAGATGCTGGGGGGGGTGGGGGGCAACGGTTTGGACGAAGTTTGTTCACACTGTTTTGGTGTTGAGGGGAATATGCATCATTCACCCCTGGTCAGGTGGAGGGACAGGTCAAGAGATGATGGAAGATGACCCTATCAGTTTTGAGCCAAGGATTAGCCTAGATAACTTCTGGAAGTCTCTTCCAACCTAAATTATGATGCTATGATTGTATCACCTGAGGCACATGGGCATTTTGCCACAATTCAGAACTTCAGAAGAGGCATGCCACAGGCAGCAGAACAGCACAGAGATGCATTGGTAGGACTTATGCCATGCAATCTTCAATGGAAGGAACAAGCAGGCTCTCAGCACTTCTGGTGGTAATACATCCAAATTTGGAGACATCAAAACACTCAGCAGCCCAAAACACAGGCAGAGGAGAAAACCAGAGCACACAAGTGCCAAATCAGCTGTTCATATATCAGAAACTCTGAAACAACCCAAGCCATGGGACAGTCAGAAATGCTACAATACAGTATCTTCTGCGATAAAATTTACTATGGAGCCATGAAAAAATAGCACAATGTAAGTCATGTGGACAGAGAAGTAAGAGGTCAGAGAGATAATAAGATAACCTTCCAGACATGGTAAAAAGCTTTACAAAAAAGGCTAAGATACAGTCTTCCCAGTAACTGAAGACAAACCGAAACAATGTCTTGGGTATCTGTGAGCATGAACTAAGACTAACACAAATGAGTTTCAATAAAATTAATTAGTAAGAAGGAAGACGATGGGAGGGGAACAGAGCAGCCCTGTATTGATAATTTGTTTGCATCCCAGTAGCTTTCTGGTATAAATAAAGCCTAAGGGAGGATCAAAGCACTGTTTGCTCTGAAAAACTGTTTTGGAGGCAAAGGGCAGCTAAGCCGAACCTGAAGTTGTAAATAGCTCAGAATACTACAGCGTTTCCTTAGACATCCCAAACGATATATTTAACATTTATATTTATTTCTGTTTGTGATTTTCTCCTTTAAACTGTGACTAATTTCTGTAATCAATTTATAAACCAAAATTCACTGTTTTCATTTAAAACCTAGGTAGCATTTATAGCGAGCTCTGGTAAAAACCAACCAACAAGCATCCAACTTTAACCTAAGGCAGCAAACCTAAAAAATACACACAGCAAGCCAAACCACTACAGCTTCTGCAGCCAAATGATGGGTGGGGACACCAAGATCTGGGAAGGGTTATTTTCCCCCTTCTCTGCACTCCCTCCAGCTGCAGAAGTCTATTTGGGGCTTGATATTATTGTGAACCAGGTAAAAGGAAAATGTTCCCTCACAGACACTGCTCAGCGCACCTTCATGAAGCATGTTCAGTGGCAAACAACTTAAAATAAAGTCCTGTTTGACAGTGAAGACCGATTTTTTTTTTTCCTGACATAGTTTATTTTGTGTCAAGAGTGATGACAGTAGAGAACCTTAAAATACTAAGGACAGATCTGTCCAGACTCACGGATGGCATAAAACAATTTAGAAGGATTTCAGATGTGTAGGGTAAGGAATCAGGGGAAGAAAATAGAAATTGCCATTTGCAGTTAGAGGAAACAGGATGGGAGAGAAAAACTCCTAGTGACCCTCCGGCAAATTCTTCATCCTTTATGCCTGTCATTAATCTCTGTGCCACCCAGCCAAGTGGGTACTGCCTCATACCAGCGAGCACAATACTAAAGTGCCTCACAACCAGTAGGTTCAGGGTTCCAGCTATCCATAAGGATGCAGCCCCTCACTGCTGCAATGCCCACAAGGACCACAGAAGCTGTCCTCATGATTAACATCCTGGCAATGCTCTTCCAAAAGAGGCAGAAGCCGTATGTGCCAGATCAGGAGGGAGTATGTTCAATCCATCACATTGGTAAGGGCTTGATCTGCTCCAAGGAGAAACAAAGCAGCTTGTCACAGGCACGGTATTTCTGAGAGTTCCTGCAGCCTGTGCTATTAAAAAAAAAAGTGAAGAGAGCAAGCAAGAGCAATGCCTCCCTTGCCATTACCCACAGATGTGCTATGTTACTCCCTAGACAGTTAAGGCAGTGATGCACAACAGTAAAAATTTTCAGCTGCTAGCCCTGATAAAAATACAGTTTACAGCAACATCCATGTAGACAGCAAATAAACTCCCCACAGGAAAATGTGAATTTCAAAGTGTGACACTGACACACCCCACTTCTACAGATGTAAGTAATCTGACTATGATTAGCAAATTAATTGAATCCGTCCAAAGATAAAATTCTAAGACATGTTTACTGATACTGCACCTTCTACTATTCACCTATGTCAAAAGCCAAAATCTGACTGAAATAGAAGCTTGTTAGGAGGCATTTGAGCTAATAAGAAAGCTTGTAGAAGTTCTCACTACCATCTGACAAGTTGCTTAAGCTCCCTGCTTATAAAACTCTGGATCTTGGCAACACAAATGCACTTGAAGGGAGAAAGAATCCTGTTCCTCCAGGTAAAAAGCTAACCCATTGTGTACAGAAGTGCTTTGTCTTTAAATACAGCAAGAGCAAGTATTACTATACAGGCTGCTGAAATCTCAGATTTCAAGCCTCAACCCAGCATTCCCCTTTGGTTTGGTTATATACAACAGAAAAGCAATGCACATAGCTTAATTAACTAGGAGTTCAGCACTGCAGAACGTATACATCTTCAGAGGAAGAAGACAGTGGTGATCAATGCCCCCTCCTATCTTGAGATCCTCTGTCTGATAGCTTCAGAATAAACTCTGGTTTATTCTACCACACTAATGATGATTGTTGTGTTGAGAATACAGAGAGAAAAATCTCAACTGACAGTGCCCCAGGGCAAAAAAAGAAACAGTACTAAGATATCCTAAAATTGCAGGAATTAATCTTTTCCTCTGGAGAGTGTTCCAAGGCAGACTCATGTCTTGCTCCCTCACACTGTACTAGCGAGGACATTCCCAAAGCCATCCAAAGATACATGCGGGTAACAAATAAGAGCTTTGGAAAGATAAAAGAATGTCATCCCCTTACCACAGGGGCAGATAAAAGCCACAGGAACATTTTTTGCCCCTACTCAATAGCTCAGAAATATACTGCATCCAAGTCAACACACTGACCAGAAACCCTGTTGCTCACAGTACAATGCTACGATCTTTGATCTTCCTGCTACTGGACTAGATGGATGCAGACAGACCCTTGTGAAGCTTTGGCATGTCTGAATGTCAGGAAGGCCCTAGGAGACTTGATGTGAAAAAGTCTATACCAGCCCTGCAACATAATAATGAATGGAATATGACAAAACCTTTTCAACATGCCATTAGAAGAAAGAAACGCTTGCTATAAATTCAGCCCTATGCAATGAGAGTGCAGTGTACTCACAGAGGGCAGGGAAATAGCAGGCAAGTTTAATAATCATACTGGGACTGCAGTTCTAGGTTTGCAACACCTCAAAATAAAAGATGTGCTTCCTTTATGGCAAGTTCTTACACTGATAGGCACCTGATACGCATGTGTGTTGTGTATTCATATAAGGTTCTCAGCTTCCAGATCCACCCTAAATACAAATGCTGTGTACCCAGCACAGATCCAGTTACACTTCAGCACACAAAAGTGTTGCTGTGAAGGGTTTAATAGGTGGACATATGACATTCTTGAATTTTATAACAGAAAACAACACATTTCTTCATCTGACACCAGGACAAAAAAAGTAATCTTTGACTCAATGGAAGGGAAGTATCTTCTAACCCGCAAGATCTGGATTCTGGCCAGTCTTTGTGCTGGTATATCCTTCTATGTGTGTACATATGCATACATCTGTGTGTATGTACACCTATAGCTGATATCCAGTGTGAGTGAAGAACTCCAGATGCGCCCTACTATCCAAAGAAAATAAGAAACTTCAGAGGAGAGCATTCAATGCATATCTTCATTCCTCATCTGAAGACAGCACAAAGAGGCAGGCCAAGCCCTCAGAGCTTGATCATGAAAAGTGGTCATTTGAAATCATTCAGCATCTAACAGACTGACATAAGATACCTGAGGCAAAGGGGAGCTATCCTCCTGTTAATGTTACCCCTGCTACCTCTGAAATCCTTTAATGCATCCAATTTATTCTCATTATCAAAAGCCATTTCTGAAATCCCAGTCTCTTGCTAGTATTGCTGAACTTTTTTTATACACTTTATGGTTAATACATTTATAGTAGCATTGGAAGTATTCACTTAAAACTGAACTTACCAGACGGAATATTCTTATCATCAATAATGAGATGGGCAAACGGCAGCTTCTCAGGTTTGTTTCTCTTGTACAGATCCATTCCTAATGCCTCCATTGCAGCTAGAGATAAAAGAATTGCATTACCTCAGAAAGACAAGTTTAGTAGAACTAAAATATTTCTTATTCATAAACCAGCACCTACCTTTTTCTGGTCTTGGTCGTGCTCTTCCCATGACATACTGGATTTCCTAAAATAAGAAAAAGCCATTGCTTTGTGTTGTCTTGGTTTTATAATATCGCGTATTGCAGGCAGTTTGCACAATTACAACACTCTGTGTGTATGTGTATGTGGGGGTTGCTCTGCCTACAGTATATTCATATGCCTGGGATACATATTCTCATATTTACATGATGAATAATATGAACACAGTTTAGCTGCCAAAATTAAATTACTTCCTCTGTCCAATACTTCTGATAAAGGTGGACAGGAACAACGGTGTGTATGATCACTGCACTATTTATTGAAGTAGTGGTGACAGGACACTCACCACCTTTCCTACTTATTGCACCTGGAATATATCTCAAAGTATAACAGAACAATGACTGCTAAGAATGCATCACATAAAACAATGGAGTTTATGAACTGACTTAATTACTTGGGGTCAAAAGGTAATGAAAGAGCCAGTTCTACATAGGGTCTAGTGTGCAATCACAACTAACAACTAAGGAAAGCTAAGCTCCGAATTTCATTTGTGACGAGATATATGATGAGGTAAATGAAAACCCTCCACCCCTCACAATTGACCACTAGCAGGGAAGGTTGCAGGACTGCAAGGCTTTATAATCAAGGCTCAGTTCTAACAAGGTATGCAGGAACTGAAGGATTAAGCACCTTCCACATCTGTACTGGGCCAAATAGACTGGGTGCCAGAGTTTAGAAGTATGCATTCTTTAAAACTGCAGATGAATTTTAACATGAATGAAACCTCTGTTACCCAAAATCAAGAACAGCACAAGCAACAGACATCAGGCACCACAAAGCGCCTTGCTTTTAATAATCTACACCTGTTTTCCTCTTGAGAAAACATACGAACCACAGTTTTCAAAAATTTAAGCAGTCTGTTCTTGTTAACAAGCCTGGACTGAGTCTTGGTAATATTAAATTCAATCCTAAATTCTGTCCCCTGTTGCCCCATGACTCTCCATCTCTGTTTTCTAAAAAACAGGGGTAATGTTCTACTTGCTATTCAGAATACCTCATACCATGGAGCCATCAAGAAGATGTTTAAGTAAAGGAAACATTTTGCTGAAGACAGCAAATCTCATCTCTGAAACCTAAGAGTGGTCCTTTGCTTTGTCTTTGTCACACGTATTGCCATTCATCTGATTCAATACCACATATATGCAATACGCCTCAGATTTGGCCAGATCAGCAATGTTCCACTGTGGTCTCAATCACTGCAGTGTTTTAGAACTTGAAATCCTGCTTTGAAAACACCTAAAGTCCTGCTTTTATATAATTTTGCAGCCACTGTGAAATCTAACACCTTAGCTGGTGCATTTATTACTCTCACTTTCCCCTTTCAGTAGGTGTTTAAATGTTAAACCAAAATGAAAAGCCACAGCAGTATGGAAGTTGTAGTATGACTATCAAAGCATAATACTTCAGCAGAGACATGCTGATTTTGTAGATAAGAATCACTATGATGCTTTCTGCTGTAGAGATGAGAAGAAAAGCAGAAGAATCGCAACTTCAAAAGAAGCAAAACTCATGTTCACTTCCTCCATTTACATTCACTTTCCCTCTCTGATCTTCCTACTTCAATGTCAGTTCTAGAAGCATGAAAATGAAGCTCAATTCTAGGAGCTGCACACCAGCCTCTAGCCACACTTGAGCTCTTGAACTTCATCAGAAGTAGGAAGACAACAAAAAACTGCAAGTACTAGATACTGCAAAAAGTGGCAAAAGCCTCAGAAGAGAACAGGACATAAGGTAAAAGAGACCAGGAGATGGACTACACTCTCAGAGATTACTGCACCATACCTGCTCCCAGCCCTTTCCCTAGAAAGGGGAGACTCCTTTGTTTTCTTGCTTTCTTAAAGGAAACTTCTCAGATGTGGAGTCTGCTTTTGTATCCTTTCCTCCCAAGGAACGTGATAATGTCCCTGCCTGAAGAACCTACTGGGCAGACTTAAGAAGAGCTACGTACATTTTCATGTCCTATTGTCTGAACTGGTATAAAAAAAAAAAATCCCATGGTTGTTAACTGCCCAGCCCTTGAAATCCCTGAACTGGACAACTGCTATCCTCCTCTTAACCTACCTTTTTCTTAAGAGCATAGAGTTGTGCTTCTGCACATTTCCAAAGACGCTCTAGCAGCTGGGTGCCTCACCTTCTCAGATCTAGCAGCCTGACTCAGCTCATCTTCCAGGCGGAGAGGCAGTGGTCCTCATGAAACACAGTCTGAGCTGCTTGCTTTCTAACTGTTGGTGGTGCTGTTCACCTGCAGCATTACCACTTGGTAAGCAGAACAGCTACCCAGGAAGACTTGGGTCCACAACTCTCCTTGACCTGATGGGTTTGAGCCTACTTTTCTGTTTCCTAGGAGCATCTCTCTCTGACAGGAATGCTCTCCCATACTCCTCTTGAAGCTATGCTACTATGCAATTAGGAATGCAAATGTCATTACCACCAAAGTGAGCTTATAAGTGCCAGCTCAATACTAACACACTGAGAAGAGCTGGAGACTGGCTCATGTTCACTGACTCTTCTGTGTGCTTGTCATCGGATTAGAAGTGGCTAGCCTGTGGCCAGAAAACAGAAGTCCTCCACCAGCTGAGTTCTCCAAACACTGGATTAGCATCAAGTTCTTTATTTGATTCTGACCAGCCCCACAAAATTTTGATATTTCTGTTGCCCAGGCTTCCAAGTGGAAGCTGAAATACATGAACTAGTCCCTAGATGACAGAGACAAAGCTATGGGTTTTCTCCTGAAGAATAAGTAGTTCAATACTTCTTCCGAATTTTTACTCCATGTTTCTACAGTTCCAAGGTGCTGATACACAACCTGCCTTAGAAAAGCGTTTTGGCATATACTTGCTTCTGACCCTGAAGGACTCAAAGACCACATTTTTCAGTGGATGTCTGAAGATAACCAGATGTCTAAAGATGGCCTTTTAGTGGGATTATAAAAATCCCCTGGTATCCTTACTGCAAGGAATTAAGAGCTAGAATTTTCTAAATCTTTAAAGTATTAACTGCATTCTTTAGCACCTGAACGTCTTTAAGCATCTCACACCTAATCACAATGTACACTACCATCAAGAAAGCAGAAACAGCTCAACAGAACCTGTCACTAAGACACTGGTATAATGGCATGAGAACTGCTGACAAAATATTAGTGACTTCTCTTAAGACTGCCAGCCACAGAACCATGTGCGCTACCAAGCTGTTGAGTTATTTTTAGAAAAACTGTACACAAAAAAAATCACACCACTGTTAAGTCTTACGATAAGCTGCACTTGAGCACCTCTCTGTCATTTGCTCACTGCCCACCAAGTCAACTCTTCTGGCCTGCTTCTCACATTCCAACCTCCTTCATACAGTCACTGTTTAAACAACAGACAAGCAGCCAGTCACAAAAACAAAAAAATGTGTCTTCCTTCATCCAAAAAATTTAAGAGGACATTGGGAAGTGGCAGAGCTTTCACATTTTAAAAGCTAAAATCATGCTTTAAGTGCCTGCAAAGTTGGGAACTGCTCTTTCCTCATTCACAGCAGGCTGCAGGTTTTAACCCTTAGCATCTCAGCATTTTCAAAACAAAAATAACTCTCACTCTTCAAGTTATGTCCGATGTTGAGGATGCAGAGACAAGGCTACATTTAAACACGTGACATTTGTGAACGGTTTTTCTTCTCCTTTGGCTTTTACAGTATCTCAGGATCTACTTTGCATAGCTATAGTAGCCTTTTGAGACCAACCAGAAGAGAACCCCTCTGGACACTCAGGTATTGCTTCAGCTGTGATCTTAAAGCTCCTTTATGCAGTTGTTTCTTTTACTACCTGAATGCTTTAAGTCCAGCTAATACCAGGAAGCTGTATCTCATTATCTTGCCGGAAATTCAGCAATTTGAAGAATGCCAATCAGGAAGGAAGTGAAATAGAAAGTACATGAACCAATATTCGTCAGAAGATAGTTTAGAGATCAGCACTACAGCTTCTATCCAAATAAGTAGCCTATTGCCTGCAGAAAAAAGGCATGTAAGGTTATAAGATGGAAACTGTGAAATTTTAACAACTTACAGCAATCACTCCTGAAGCATTGACTTTGTCCATAACTACGTGCACTTTAAATGTCTGCTAAGTATATAGATCTCTTTACAAGTGCTGCCCTGGAGGCCTAGCAAAGTACTCTGTGGCCATGTGGGAGACTAGTTTACGCCTGAACTCCCCAAGCTGCTAGAAGCTGGGAGTATTGCCAAGAACAGTTACTTATGAATTGACCCAAGATATGTTTGAAGTCCTTTTCACTTCAGGCTCCTAACAGACTTCATAAGAAGTGTGGTTAGTGGATCTGGACTGCCAAGAGGTTTATAGGGTTGCATGCAAAAAAAATTAAGGAAACAGACAGGCTAGGAAAGTGTATTATTTATCTGCTTGAATGTTTACATGCAATATTGAAAATGTGCTTTCTACTGAGTAAGCTTCTCCCTAAGCAGTATTTTTATTCTGGAATATGTTAAGGAATTCACTATTAGATTTTGATTAAAAGAAAATTTTTAATTATTATTTTTTCAGGAGACAAATGTTTCTAGACCCAACGTTGCAGCCCTACTACACTGGTTTTCATAAGAGCACTTTCATTTTCAACATCAATCCCTGCTTTAGATTTAAGCACTAGGTCTACAGGTGTGCAAAGAAAACAGATGAGAACCAGCGCAGTAAGCTAAAAGCTGTAACCAGACCATAAACCTGAGCAAAAGCAAGTTGTCTATTTTCATTTCCTGAACAGCTTGAATTGCAAAAGACAAAATATTGAAAAAAATCACAAAACATAAATGGTATTTTAAAGTGTTCCATTTCAGCTACTTAACATGCTGCCAATTCAGATAAAGATACTGGTTCTTAAAACATACACAGGTTAGATTCTCCTCCAGGAAAGTGAAGAAGGCACAGACGATAGGAAACCTCTTTCAAGTCACCTTTGCTGCATTCCCACACATAAAGGACTAGCAAAACTGGAGTAAGATCCAGCTGCATCTCTGCCCTTCATTGTAGCAGAGCCAATGAAAGGCAGAGCTTACAGAACATGACAAAGTATAATTTTGCCTTAACACTGTTTCTTTCACTTCTCTAATATACTGAAAAGACATGAATGTAGGCCCAGACAAGCATTTTCCTATCTTTATTTTCCTCTGTGTCATCAATATATCATGACAAAGCATCCAGAACACCGATGTAGCTGCTTAACACATTCTGTTGCACTCAAAGGAAATTCAGAGTTTGATTACTTTGGCAAGGGAAATTTTATTGTTCTCAAACTAATAGTCATCGCCAAGAAAGTTACCCCTACTCACCACTTATCTTGGCCACGGACATTGCAGCATTTAACCTCCATCCAGAATGGCAGGATGTGCAGCCTCAACTAAAGCCAATGCCTTTGTTGAGTAACCAGCAGCAAATGACCAGAACGCAGGGCTTCCCATTCACTTACTGTAACAAGTTCCTTACTCTGCCATGGGAGCCGCATGAACAAGCAGTCTAGTACCAGCATACAGAATAGAAGTAGGTGTAGTTGAGAGTCTCTATAAAATGCTGGAGGAAAGAACTAATCCTACAGAGAAACCTTTTTTTTCCCTTTAGTTTTTAAAGGAGGTAGCTAGCAAAAGGAACAAGACACGAACTCCTAGGTATTTTAAGTTTTGTTCACAAAAAGGTCTGTCACTCAGGGTACTCTGTTAAAAGCAAACATTATGTTAGCACAATTAAAGTACTATAAAATTAACACAAGTACAATTCACTCTGTAAAGTGTATGAGTTCAGCTCAAATCTAATGTAGTATCCTTTATGAAAAACTGACAGTCCCATGCAGATGTGAAGAAGTAAAGTTGTAGTGGACCTGGAAAGTCAGGAAAACCAAATACAATAGCAGACACTCAGCTGTTAAATAGCCCATAATTAGCACTAAACACTATCATGAACGCGCAAAGAGATCAAAGGCAGTAACTGCAGTAAGCAGTGATTGTGACATATCCAGCTTCCCTTGGCTTCTTCATTAGGGCTGACTTCTTTAGCTGACTACCTTTGTTATTTGTGTTTGGGAACAAGCTGTCATTCTCAACAGCTGGGCAAAGACTGCCCAGTTACTGTGCTATGGCAAAGCAGCTCTTCTGTCAGTGTGGGAATGGTCTGCACAGAACACAGAACTGGCAAAGTGAGGGAAAAAAAGAAAAAGGAGATACTATCCCTCATTTTAAGTTGCAGAAAGAGTAATAAAAAAGAGCAAATGAGAACAAATGTTATCTCCTCTGTCTTCCAGTCAATATTTTGCTTGTTGATGACCTTGACTTGGGAGAATCTTGTCAGAAACAGTCAGGAAGACTGCTTTGAAAAAAACATGGAATTGTCCTTCTTTATGAAGACGCAAAGTGTTGGCAAACCTATACAAATATTAGGATAAATGACTACCATTCAGGCCCATCCAAATGTCAGAATGGCAAGTCAACTAACTGCAATCATAGTTTTCTCAGTGCAACTTCAAGTCCTCCTTTCTTAAAAAAATAAAAAATGTGTTTGAATACAGAATTGGTTAACTACTACCAGGTTCAAGAGCAAACACAACATGATCTTGGATGAAACTTCAGGTACTATCTGAACATCAGAAAATACTTTATAGAACTTACCTCCAAATACAGATGTTGGAAAAACTGTTGTAAGATCAATAGGAGCAGGAAACAAAGCAACACACAGTCTGTCTGCCACTTACCTTCTGCACAGCTCTTTGGAGAGCCTGTTTCATGCTTCTACATGATTCTGGCATTAACTTTGCTTCTTGATTTTCAAAGGATGTATCATGCAAATCTGTATTTTCTTGATGTTCAAAAAGTGTTCTGACACAGTGTGCATGTTCTTTTGAAATTCTAGTAGGGTCCATCTGAAAAAAATACAAGCACAATCACAGTTTAAAATGTCTGTCCAAGAGACATTAATAGCATTTAAGTCAGGGAGAATTTTCAACCATCTAAAAGTCTGGCACCTAGCTAAGTTTATTATCTAAAATTTCACTGTAAAAAATGAAGAGACAAAAAGTTCCCCCCATGGAAGTTTATTTCATACAACAAGCTAGGAGAATGAATTATCTTCTGGAGCTGCCTAGTTCATTAGCTTAGACTAGATATGTGACTTTCAGAAGTTAAAGATAAATCCCGCTCTTACAGTAAAATCAATAATCCTGAATTCCATTTTTTGACCAGTCAGTGCAATACAACAATTATTTTAGCAGCCAACATACACAGCCATCCTATCTGTAAAAACTATAGTCTGCAAGATGACACACAAATGCCAAGCAGAAGAACTTGAAGAAAGTATGTGCAACATCTAGCACATCATCTTCAAGAGGAGAAACAGAAGAACAGAAGTCAGTTATCACAAACTATTTTGTGGGCAGGAGACATTGCTGTATAAAACAGTCACCAAGACAGCACAAATTCAGAAAGCCCAAAAGATAAAACTGTACCACAAAACACCTCTGCTTCATGGGACAAAGACTGATAAATTTAGAATATCTGCAAGATATTTTTAGCAATCATTCTTTGAGATTGAATCAAGTACACTTTTAAACTGTAAGTTTAGAATACCCCTGAATTCTATCAGTTAGATAAACTGGAAGGATATTCCAAGGATTAGGATTGTGCCTTGAGTTTAATTGCGTAAGTGTTATTTAAACCATTTCACTCTCTCTTCTAACACTCCATATACTTTACACTCAAGAGACATTAAGCACTATCTTTCAGAGATGGCCTATGACTCTCAGCAATTGTTCTCAATTTGTATTTATTCTGCTTTTACTTCAGCCTTGAAGAAAGGTTTGTGCACTCAAAATCTTGTCTAAGTTCTCTAACTGTATCAGCTGGTCTAATAAAGAACATTTACTTCTATCTTTCTGCATAAGGTGGAAAGAACGATTTTATCGGAGAATTACAAAAGGTAATGCATTATTTGTAATCATGACGAGGGAATGCGAAGACATTACGGATCGTGTCTGACCGGTGTTCAGTTTCCCTTAACATAGCACTGAACAAAACAGAACACCAAAAGGAAGTTTTGCAGAATACAAAACAGCCGGAGTGAATCAAATACATTATATCATTTGTTCACACAAACATAAATTTGAGTCCCTAACCCCCAAAAAAGAACAGAGTTAACTTAAAAACATAAGGTTAGGATTACACAGGTGAATTTAAGTCTACACAGGCCAGGCAGCCATCCAACAGGCACACACTGCAGAGAAACATTCATTGCACAGATGGCAACACCAAATGCTGCCTCCACCATCCTTCTACTGAAGTCTCCAGATGAGAGCTGTTTGCCCGATTCATTCAGACCAACGTCAGCGCCTGTGATCTGGTTTAGCTGCCTTGGATATCCCTGCAGATTTGGAATGAAACAGGTCACAAAAGGTTCACCTGAAGATCAGAAGATGCCACAGTTTTGAGCAGAGGGGTAGAGATGAGTTACAGAACGGTTTGAAGGCAGTAACATCTCCCTGGGATGGCCTGAGAGCTGAATCCAAAACAAGATCTGTGTATAGCCACTACAGCTCTATGAATTAAGTATTAAAAACTACACTAATGACTTCCAAAGTCAGCTAGTGCAGTGCAGCCCCATTAACTGTTTAAGCTGATCTAAACCAGCAGCTCTGTGTGCTCGCCTTCTTCACCACAAAATTTCATTCCTGGTTCTCAATCTCCTCTTCTGAACCAATAACCTGGGAAGATTTTTTGCTAATCTAACTTCCTGAAAGATTAGCACCCTGAAACCAACTCACTCCAGGTATCAGACAGGCATCAAAGCCAGTACAAGGACAGATATAGGAATGAAAAAGCAGGAAGGCAGCACTAGCTTTAACAACTGTAAAATTGCACCCTAAAACCATCTCTCCCAGGATGTTCCACTAGCGTTCAGAAGTCAGAAAATCAACTGTAAACTGAAAGAAAAAAAAAAGAACAACAAAATGTTTACCAACAGCGGCTAAAAGGCAGTTAATACAGAATGACCTGGGCTGGAAGGTACCTCTGGAGATTTGAGGCAGGGTCAACTTGTAACTTAGGTTGGTCAAGGCCTTGTCTAGACAAGCTTTGTGGAATCTCCATCGATGGAGAATCTTAACCTCTACAGGCAAACTGTTCTACAATTTAACCACTTATGTAAAAACACTCATTTTGATACCCAGCTACAGTTCTCCTTGCTGCAATTTATGACTGTGCCTCTTGGGTTTTTTTTCTGTGTACTTCTGAAGAGCCTGGTTCCACCTTTAGGTAGCTAAAAACAGTGACCAGATTCCCTCACCGTAGTATGTTCTTCATTAAGTTCAAAGAATCCAGGTCCCCATTCCTGATATGCTACAGTCCCTACCTATCACAGTAGTCTTCCGCTGCACTCTCTCCAGTTTGTTGATATGCCTCTGGTACTGAGGGACCCAAAATAGGACCTATTATTCCAGATGTAGCCTCTTATGTCAGAGTTGTTAGAGATCTGAGGGAATTAAGGTCTTCAACAGGATCTGGATATCTCAGTCTTCTCCCCTCCACGCACATCATAGGATAGAAGATAAAAAGCCACAGCAAATAACTGCCAGTAGATACTCATTTTTATCACTAATTCTACTAGTGAGAGACTATTATCCCAGTTCTGGATTTATTTAAACACATCTTCTGAAAAGTAAGCAATAAAACTAGGTTTTATAACACAAAGATCATGGAATTTGTAAAGGCCTGAGCATCCAGCATGACAAATCATGCATAGCATAGACTTACAGCTATCACCCATCAGCAGTCAGCCAAATGTGTGTCACAACACTATGCCAGAACAGTAACAGCAGATTGTACAGAAGCACTTACTCACAATTACAGTTTTTCTGCTGAAGGCTTAAGACAGAAAACCAGCATTTCTGCACCTACAGTTAAAAGATTGAAGGCTTAATGGAAACACTAACTGATAGCTTCAGAAAATTAAAGCTGTGCTGACAGCTTTAAAATATCCTGACAAACTGCAAGTCTCAAGATTTAGTGTTTGATAAGGTGAAGCTCTGATCTTGGGACTGGCTAACCTACCTGACTGTCCTTATGTTTTTCAAAGAACACCTAGTCTTCACCATGTTTAACTATGAAAATTAGCTCACTTGTCTGAAAGGGCATTCTCAGAAATCCTACATCTTACACCTTCATAGAGAACATGCACTGAACTGCCACGGTTGTAAACAGGCATTACCAAGCACTGAGACCAAAACTGTGGGCAAGAAGTGATGCACAGAAAAACTTTCATGGGCATGTTTTGAGAACTTCTAAAGAGCCAGGTGAAATACCAGAATGGTCTACAGGAAGCAGCTTGCTAACTTGCAAGGCACAGAGACCTTCAGCATGAAGTCCTAAAGATTTAACACCTGGAAGAAACATCAAGATGCAACCAAAAATATTGGAGAAAGCTTTGTAACTCATTAAGTAAGCTAAATACCCTAGAGGAATTAACCTATTTAAAGAGAAAAATGTCTAGCTTATTTTTCCTATGTTACTATTGTGTATACATCCATTGTGCCTGACCTTGGAATCAGATCAAACTTTTCGGTGCCTCTTGATTTTCGGCGCCCCTTGATTTTCAGCATCTCTCATCATTCTAGTTGCATTTCTTGACTCTTTTCACCTAATTCAGGTTGAACTCAAAAGGAACTCCAGCATTGTGGGTGAGATCAAATTAATTTACAGAATCAAGAACCAATTTTCCAATCTTAAAAAGATTCAGTTTAGTTTTAAGATACAATACATTCCAGCCGCCTTTACAGATTAAATGTTGCCTCATTTATGCAAAGTTACAGTATCACATTCTGTACTTACTCCTTACAATAAATGTTAATGTTTATACTTGCACTTATTTTCAAATTTAAACCAATTTCCAATTATCAAATACCACTTTGCACTCCATGATCTTTCTTAACCACCAAGAATGGGTTCTTCTAGGCTTCCAAAACATGCTAATAACCTCCAGCAAGCTGTTTTCTGTTAGCCACTGCTCTACAACACTCTCAAAACTTTAGATGAAGTCTGAAAGGTAATTGTTTAAAAGCATACTGTAATGAAAGTCATGAGTTCCACAGATGCATGAAATGACAACAAAAATCTGCCTTCCAGGTCCCCATTTATAGGAGTGTGAATTCTTCAGTAAGAATCTTAAGAATAGTTAAGATTTGTACACACTGGTGGGTTTTTTTTGAAATGGGAAAAATGGATAACCGTGGCATTCTAGGTTAAAATATGGGAGTTAGACATCCAGCCCCTACATTTGTATTTGAGCACTTCCAGCTTCTTCCACAGCCCTCCAGTTCAGTTAGTGTTAGACCAAATTCCTACTTTTTTATGATCTAAGTACATTAAGGAAATGGGCCAGAAAAAAAGCTTAAGAGCAAAGCGTTTGAAGAATATGCTTTAGCATTTACCAGTGAAAGTTAAATAAAATACTTTGCTTTCCTACCTTGTGCTGTGCATGAGTCTATTACGTGATAATCTCCAGTTGCTCTGAGTATCTAACTAAATTTTCATGGCATTTTCATTGATCATGAGCAAATATTCCTCATGAAGTATAAGCAAAATAAACACTTCAGATCAATACATTTTGTTAGTGTTTAATTTCTTGGATTCAGTACATTGCAGAAGACGGTCCAAAAAGAAAAGTCGGAACATCTTAATGTTCTTACATTTCAGAACACTATTACAAGAATATTGGTAAAATTCAACTCTTAGCTTTTTTTCCTTTTAGATATACCAGATCATTGTCTCATTTGCATTGCGCTGCATTATTTCTTGGCCACAAACATGTGTTTACCCATGAAAATCTAGTGTCAGTCTTAGTTATGTGCCTTGTGAAATTCCAAATGCTTAAGCCACAAAATAAACAAAACTAAGGAAAAACCAAAACCTCAACTATTGTCTCAGCTCGTATTGTGTCATGATCCAGCCCAAATTATTTCATGCAAATACAGATAAAATGTGTATGGTAAAACTGAGTCATGGTTTACTCAGCTTCTTAGGTAGAGTTTTAAAGAGCTTGTAAAACGTATAATTTCTTAATATCAGCCTATACATTCAAATCTTGCGAATTCACACTTGGTTAATTCACCAATCAAACAATTCAAATCTTTTGATGGACAGCGTCTACTATTAACTTCTCATTATTTTAACAAAATATACCACAATACTTAAGTCCTGTTACTGAAGTACAAATTTAGACAGCTGAAATTTGTACTGAAAAGTACAAATTGAGATAGCTTAATACAACTAAATTTCACACCCATTTTTTCCAAAGAAAGGTCAGATCATGTCCCATATAAATAAAACAGTCTGCAAGACAGTTAACTAAGACTTAACTTCCGCAGGACCTACTATTTTTTCCATCTATCTTATTTCACAATAAGTAATTGGTGAACAAATATGAATTACCATATCTTATTATTGTGAATTATGTACTTACTCCAAAAGTGTACTTATTATTCAATTTTTACAGTGATGGCAAAGAAGACATTTTCTTCATTAGAAATTTTTCAGGCAATAACCTCAGTCAAATCTACATCTAGCTACATCATCTCTTTTAGATGTTTCAGAAGTTCAAGTTTACAAAGGACTCCATCCAACAGCATTACTCCAAATCTACAGGAACAAGAAACTGGCAAGAGAATTAAGAATTCTGCCAAATGCAGAATTACACCCAGACCATGTAATTTTTTAAATCAAGGAAGCAGAAGAAAATAGCCATTATGGTAAGAAAGCTCTTTTTACCCTTTGTTAGGCACGTGTGAAGCACTGACATAAACCTGTCCAAAAGAGACCTTAATAAGACGGACAGTGGGATGGGGGAAGGAGGTAGAGAGAATAGAAAAATAGCATTTTCAAAAAGTATACTTTGATTAGTTGTTTTGATTGCAATGGCTCTCTAGCCAACTAATCAATGTATAGCTGTGCATTTCTATGAGCTATGTTTTGACAAAGATGTCTTTTCAAGTTCATGCAGATCTGGAGCGAAAAACATTTTTCTGCCACAAGCTGAAGTAGACATTAATTTATTTCACTGTCAAGCAAACAAGTAGCTTTAAGCTACTTTACAATGAGTCCCAGAAATTAAATGTCACTCTTCTGAAGTACACAGGATATGTTTAACTAAGTACTGTATTGCCTTTCCATTTTATTTTTGTAAGAATGGCAAACACAAAAGCCATTGTCAGTAAGAAAATATGAATTGGTCTGCATAATAAGCGATGAGCAGTGCTACTGTATATTTGATAGTCATTCATCTGTTCAAGTGGGTATACATTTGTGCCGCATCTGTTTTCAGAGTTCACTTTGTAAAGAAATCCAGTCTGCTACATCAAGATCAAGCACATCTACCTAGAAAGTAAACCGAAAGAAACAGGTTTCCACTCCCCACTGACTTCAAATGAAAAGTACGCACAACAGAACTATAACTTCCATGAAGGCAGTAAGACCTGTATTAATGGAACTAATTAGCATCCGACAAAAAAGCCAGGCAGAAAGCTAACACCTAACCCTCAGAAGCAACCAACTGGCAGCCCCCCACTTCCTCTGAGCGGGCTCAGCCACACAGAGTAAGAGACACAGCAGCAAGTGAATCCAGCCAGCCAGCCGAGCCATTTCCAAGAAACAGGGTCCTCTTCTCTCTGAAAGCCTAACCGCTCGTCACCTCATCTCCCCCCACAGAGATACCTCCCCGTGCTCCTTTCTGCATGTGCCGCTGCCTCTTCTGAAGCATCCCCGGGCAGGTTTGTGGCCTGGCAGGCGAGGGGCAGCTCTCTCTCAGAAAGGAGCTCCTGAGCTACAGCGGGCATCTCCAGCAGATGCCTGCTAACACACAAACCCCACTCCACAGTGCCCCTGCACAGTCTGAAGGACAAACGATACCAAGTGGTGTGGTGGGGTGGCTGTTTTTTTTTTCCTTAAAGACATTTTTCCCACTGGTCAAACATTTATGGCAGCCAAAGACCTCAGCCATATCAAACCCCTCTCTGGTGAATAACTGAAAGGCGAGCATTAAAAACCAAAGCCCAGCAAGACTTCAGGTGAAGGATCACTAAGCTGCTTCCCCAGTCGGGGACCCCTCATGGCCGACGTCGCTGAGGAACTCTGTACCCCAATATGCACCCAGAGGCCGGAGCAGCACCTAAAACACCTCTAGGTTGAGTAGCTCCAGCAACCAGGGGATAGCACAGGCCACGCAGGGCACCGGGAGCCCTCCAGCCCGACTCCCTCTCAAAACTGCACCAACTTCAGAGACAGATAAAGGT